TTGAGGTACGATATACATGTAGCTATATAGGTGACCACAGCCAAGAAGATACCAGTATGTTGAGAGTTGACCATTGACAGCTGTGTATTGAGGTATCAGAGACGACCATTGATAGCAGTGTATTGTAGAAGGCAATAGAACAAACCAACATATGATTGATGAATGCTATCACCATTAAAAGGCTCTCCGGCCACAGAGAACATATTTATAAGTGATTTGACCATTAGTATCCTCACTCTAGTCCTACTGTCAACCCTAACAGACATAACAAATCAGTACACACAGAATGGTTGTTTGGTGTCAGCTAGCCACCAGATGACCGCTGTCATGGGACTAAGTGCATATATAGCTCTAAAGTGGTCATTTGTAGCATGAAAACAAATGGTCAAGCAAACTGTACTGAGGGTGTGAATGGAAAAACAAAATAAAGCAATTGTTGATCCGAGCTCCAACCACAGCTGATAGTGAGCTTTGTCATCTGCATACAAATCCTTCCTGTAGTGAGGCCATACCCAACAGCAGTGAACACACAGTGATTGCCCACAGCATGTTTCTATTACTTAATGGAACTGAAAACATTTCCTATTCCCAAGCATCATTAATGCTGACAACCAGGTTTTACCAGTAGAGGACAATTTCATGCTTTGTAGGTGAACAAAGTGCTCCCGCAACAATCTGTCAATGATGATACACTGTACTAAGTGGTTTAGAGCTTTAACATTGGCCCTCCTGTTTTAGTGTGGAGCCCACCATCTAAACCATACACACAAAACACATAGGCGATTAAAAGATCTCTCCTGCCTAATGACATGTGTGGTCATTATAACTTCATGCTCATGCTGCAGGTAGTTATCCTGGGAATTATTGGTAAATCCACTGGACTTCACGATGACCATAATGACAAAGGTGCTAGGATTGTAGTCATAACAACCGTTTCTTAATAAAATACTGCAGCAATGAGTGCTGCACATTTAGTCTGCCTATGTGTCTCTATGTGTCTCTCTGTGGTTCTATGTGGACTAGTAATACAACTACATTCTAAACATGTCACAACTACAAATTTATTCCAAAAACATAAAAATGTAATACTGTATAGAGTTTGATTATCAATAAATTAAACTCCTGTGGTGATCATTTAATAACTGACAGTTCAGTTTACCACAGTGTCCTTTTAAACTAAGCCTGTTTCATTGATCTTGTACAGTAATTAACAAACTAGCCCCCAACACAGTTACAGCCAATACACAACCTTTTATGTTCATCAGGCAGTGGTATGCCATGACAACTGACAGACACCAACACAATCCTATTTCTATAGTCAGCCACTGACACAATGAAAACAGTAACGGGATCTACTGTCCATACCGATAAAGGCAGCGTACAGGAGGAACACCATTCAGCATGTCCCTCTGGACTGGGGTAGGGTTTCCAATGATTCTCAGCTTAGTGTTCAGTTTGGGTTCACAAGGTCAGCTCTCGCACTCCTATCATGAATAGGAGTCCAGGCATCAGGAGGGATGGGGAGGGGTTGTGAGTATCAGTGGAATAGTTTGACCATGCCCATGAAAGGCAATATCTACCTGTTAAAAGAGCTAATCAGCTGTCACGTCAGTTACCCTGTGTCCCCCTTCCTCAAACTTACATTTAGGATGGTGGGGGTGGGGATGGGTAGGGAGCTGGCGTAGGGGGGCTGGTCAGTCAAACATAAATGCATATAGTACCTTAGAGTAGCACACACAATCTTACGCTATATCCCTCACACTAACATTATGGTAAGGGGAGCAAACATTGTGGTGTATTATCCTTAAACACACACAATCATATCTGACCAGGGTCCAGTTCCTCCCCTCGGACCTTGTATAACGTTAACACACAATCATATCTGACCAGTGTCCAGTTCCTCCCCTCGGACCTAATGTATAACGTTAACACACAATCATATCTGACCAGTTTACAGTCCCTCCCCTTGGATCCTGTATAACCTATATCAGTTTAGATTGACCATAATCAAGGTTATGTGATCCACTACATAATTAAGGATATATCAAACATTTCCTATCACCCAACTAGATCCAGATATGTCAGTGGTCCTCAACATCCAGTATAGGTACATGTATGAGACCAGTGTAGGAATGTTATCATAAACGATCTAGGAAGGTGTCAAAGTCATTCTATAGAGATTTACACAAAGATGAGGAAATGGCCCATTGAGGGACCTTGTACACACTACCTGTACCAGTCAATCCCCACTGTACACAGTCCCCAGCCAACACTAGCCTGACCTTGTATGACGCCACTGAAGGTGACCACCGGGCATTTGAACAAGAATAGAATAAAGGTCTTTCAGCAAGCATTTTCAAAAGGTCACAAAAGGTCAACACTTTTTTTCAAAGTTAAATCTGTAACAAACAAAATTAGGAATCATTGCATCTGTAGACTAAAGCTGCTTTAATCACAACAATGAAAGGATTGAAATTCTGAGCCACGTCAGTTTTAGATTTGCTATCATTTGATTGGAAGCTAATGACTTCCTTTACTTTCATTTATTTCCGGTGGTGATGATAACAGAATGAGCAGTACACTGACAGCCAGCTCCTCTTACATCAACAAACCATTACTCTTAGTTAAACCTTAGATAATCCCAGCAGCAAATGTAGCCAGCTAATCTAAATCTGTCCTCGGGCTAATGCTCCTGTTTAGATATAGCTTCCATCAGCTAACCTTGAAGACTTCCAGTCTGCCTTTTAAACACCATTTAAACCATTATCCATCTGTGTTTCACTCATTTTCTAATTCTTGTAAAATTTAAAGCAGAAGTGAAAATGATGTGGGTGAGAGTGCACTATCTACAGATCTGACATTTATACGGCAAATGCATTATTCATTTGTAAAACAAATGTTAAAAACAACCATTAAAACGTGCACAAACTTTAATGTACGAAATGTTCAGATTTAGTTGAGATTAGATTTTCCACTATTATGGTTCTAACAGTTTTACAAAAATTCGTCTGGCAGCAGGGATTTCACACTTCACCAAATGTCCAACCTTATAGCAACAATGCTGATCCCACCAAATGTCCAACCTTATAGCAACAATGCTGATCCCACCAATGTCCAACCTTATAGCAACAATGCTGATCCTACCAAATGTCCAACCTTATAGCAACAATGCTGATCCCACCAAATGTCCAACCTTATAGCAACAATGCTGATCCTACAAAATAGAATCCCTGCTGATATACACACTTTAAATATTACAGATATTCAGCTATAAACCCTTTGAAGACAAATTTCAATATCCGCATCAAACAAACAAAAATTGATTTATATCAGACAATCTGTGTATATCTATATGTGTCTGTGTGTAAGGGGACTCCATGCTACCTCGATGTGTAATACCTGCTACACAGCCCTGTAGCATTTTACTTTAGTTTTATGGATTTAACAATCATTTCATGCATTTAAAGAACTTAACAATCCTATTTCAATGCAAATGATTTTAACATATTATGTACCTGTAAGATTGAGATTATGTTTCAGAGATACGGTGGATATGTCGGAGTAACCACTACAGAAGACGGGAAGACCACATACCTGTAGGAATGAGGTAATGTTTCAGAGATAAGGTAGATATCTCGGGAGTAACCACTACAGAAGAGGGAAGACCACGTACCTGTAGGAATGAGGTAATGTTTCAGAGATACGGTGGATATGCCGGAGTAACCACTACAGAAGAGGGAAGACAACGTACCTGTAGGAATGAGGTAATGTTTCAGAGATACGGTGGATATGCCAGAGTAACCACTACAGAAGAGGGAAGACAACGTACCTGTAGGAATGAGGTAATGTTTCAGAGATACGGTGGATATGTCAGAGTGACCACTATAGAAGAGAGATGACCATGTACCTGTAGGAATGAGGTAATGTTTCAGAGATACGGTGGATATGTCAGAGTAACCACTACAGAAGAGAGATGACCACATACCTGTAGGAATGAGGAAATGTTTCAGAGATACGGTGGATATGCCAGAGTAACCACTACAGAAGAGGGAAGACAACGTACCTGTAGGAATGAGGTAATGTTTCAGAGATATGGTGGATATGTCAGAGTAACCACTATAGAAGAGAGATGACCATGTACCTGTAGGAATGAGGTAATGTTTCAGAGATACGGTGGATATGTCGAAGTAACCACTACAGAAGAGAGATGACCACATACCTGTAGGAATGAGGTAATGTTTCAGAGATATGGTAGATATGTCGCAGTAACCACTACAGAAGAGAGATGACCACGTACCTGTAGGAATGAGGTAATGTTTCAGAAATACGGTGGATATGTCAGAGTGACCACTACAGAAGAGAAATGACCACATACCTGTAGGAATGAGGTAATGTATTAGAGATACGGTGGATATGTCGGAGTAACCACTACAGAAGAGAGATGACCACATACTTGTAGGAATGAGGTAATTTTTCAGAGATACGGTAGATATGTCGGAGTAACCACTACAGAAGAGAGATGACCACATACCTGTAGGAATGAGGTAATGTTTCAGAGATACGGTAGATATGTCGGAGTAACCACTACAGAAGAGAATTTAACCACATACCTGTAGGAATGAGGTAATGTTTCAGAGATACGGTGGATATGTCAGAGTGACCACTACAGAAGAGAAATGACCACATACCTGTAGGAATGAGGTAATGTATTAGAGATACGGTGGATATGTCGGAGTAACCACTACAGAAGAGAGATGACCACATACCTGTAGGAATGAGGTAATGTTTCAGAGATACGGAGGATATGTCGGATTAACCACTACAGAAGAGAGAAGACAACGTACCTGTAGGAATGAGGTAATGTTTCAGAGATAAAGTGGATATGTCGGAGTAACCACTACAGAAGAGAGATGACCACATACCTGTAGGAATGAGGTAATGTTTCAGAGATACGGTGGATATGTCGGATTAACCACTACAGAAGAGAGATGACCACGTACCTGAAGGAATGAGGCGGCATCGCTCTCCTTGAGGACCTCTATACAGAAATGCAGTAGTCCAGTTGTGCGCTGTAGCAGGCTGGTACAGTGAGACACTTGGTCCTTGAGTACGCGGGTCTTCAGATCCTTCTCCTGGGCCACACTTTCGATGAGCTCCTGCTTGCGGTGCTTTATGGCCTCGATCAGAGCGTCACACTGTGCCACCACTACAGCCTCGAAGTCCACTGAGTTACCCTGTAAATGGAAACACAGATTTTCTTTTATCTTGGTACTTTTTCTTCTAAAATATTAACAAAATTGATCAAAATGGGACTAAAGATATACTTAGCAAGGGTTGAACAACATACATATACAATAATTGAAGATGAAACTGGTGAAAGGAGATGAAGTGATGGTGTTCTGCAGCCTGTATAGTCGTTATCAAGGCCCTCGGATTAAGATAGTTTGTCCTGTGTTAAATATCACATCAGGATTAATAGTTATACAAAGACACATGCATGTACAGATAACAGCAAAGACTCTCTTTATAATCATAACTGTTTCCTGTGAATCTCCCCTGGGAGTTTTCTTAACAAAAACAGGAATTATTTCTTAATTAAAATGTATGGTATGGAACTCTTACGATATCTTTATTATATTGCATAATGAATTTAAATGATTTCCACAAAATTCATGATTTAATGGAATGAGGCTATAAAAAGTCTGAGTAGTCTCTCAACTTGTGGCTGTTGAATACATCATTAGGTAGATATAGACTCAACAGTCAGTAGTATATTGTCATGTAGTACACATTCTCCAATGTCTTAATCAACATTTAACCAAAGTTGAGAAATAATTTGTGAATACATGTTACTAAAATACTGCATAATCAGTGTGCTTACAATCTACAATAAAATTAAAGGGTTGAGGCCTCAACAAAGAGAGTTCACTATTACATACCCAGAACTATAAACCAGGTAAAAAACCACAAGGAGTCACAGAATAATGAACCCTGCAATGGTATCCCATATCATTGTTTCCCTGGGAATTAATAAAGTTTTAGACCTTCATTTTCTTGATCAGTCAATGATTGACCCTAACAGACACGTGAGTTTCGGGTTGGGACAGCCAGGACTAGTTATTAATGTGTCACGCACCTGTACGCACCAACATCCTAATATAAACCTTTATCAGTCCATGGTAAAGGAACGGGACGGGCGCATCACCATCCCACAATACCTACCTGTATGTGTACTTAACATCAGTCAGGTGTTTGATACACATGTAGTACACCAATTCTTTTTTGACGTGCTCTGAACATTTATTTGCAGTTTTTGTAAACATCATGTGATCATCATTATCAGACTTTAGAGACTGTCCCAGATATCTGTGATCATCACTACCAGACTTTAGAGACTGTCCCAGATATCTGTAATCATCACTACCAGACTTTAGAGACTGTCCCAGATTTCTGTAATCATCACTACCAGACTTTAGAGACTGTCCCACATATCTGTGATCATCATTACCAGAGTTAAGAGGCTGTATGCAACAGATCTCTGTGATCATTATTATGAGACTTTAGAGACTGCCACAGATATCTGTGATCATCACTACCAGACTTTAGAGACTGCCACAGATATATGTGATCATCACTACCAAACTTCAGAGACTGCAACGGATTTTTGTGATGATCATAACCAGACTTTAGAAACTGCCACAGATCTTTGTGATCCTCATAACCAGACTTTTGAGACTGCCACAGATATCTGTGATCATCACCAATAGACTTTAGAGACTGCCACATATCTTTATGATCATCACTACCAGACTTTATAGACTGCCACAGATATATGTGATCAGCACTACCAAACTTTAGAGACTGCCACAGATATATGTGATAATCACTACCAAACTTTAGAGACTGCCACAGATCTTTGTGATCCTCATAACCAGACTTTTGAGACTGCAACAGATATCTGTGATCATCACTACCAGACTTTATAGACTGCCACAGATATCTGTGATCATCACCACTAGACTTTAGAGACTGCCACATATCTTTATGATCATCACTACCAGACTTTGTAGACTGCCACAGATATATGTGATCATCACTACCAAACTTTAGAGACTGCCACAGATATCTGTGATCATCACTACCAGACTTTGTAGACTGCCACAGATATATGTGATCATCACTACCAGACTTTAGAGACTGACACAGCTATCTGAGATCATCATTACCAGACTTTATAGACTGCCACAGATATATGTGATCATCACTACCAGACTTTAGAGACTGCCATAGATATCTGTGATCATCACTACCAGACTTTATAGACTGCCACAGATATCTGTGATCATCATTATCAGACTTTAGAGACTGCCACAGATATATGTGATCATCACTACCAGACTTTATAGACTGCCACAGATATCTGTGCACAGATCTATGGGATCATTAATTCCTATTTTCCAAATTTTAATAAATGTTTTAGTGAGCTTTTCATTATCCTATACTGAATACCTTGCAATTATTCCCTTATATCATCGATTTTTATGTAAAATTATTAAAAACCATCCTGTTGGTTTATAAATAATGTATAAATTTTATGTGCATTATAAATGTTACTTATAATTTTGCAAAAGCCTTAGGAATTATGGAATTTATGAACTGTGGAGTTTTGTTTTCCGTGACTATTTCTAATAAACATATTTTTACGGGTCTATTGACAAAGGGATAATAATCCGTGCTTGCCAATACTTCTGACATGCCACAGTTACTTGTTATCCTTGATAACCTATAGCGGCTATTGATTCTCATGGCATGACCAGGAATCATTATTCAGGTAATGTCTTGTCTTTTTTACTTAATGAACAATCAAGAAGAAGCCATTAACTGGTCTTACAGGGAAGCTTGTCATTAATCTTCAATGTTGTCCGTTATAATTACAGGGTGACCGCTCTCTGATACCCGTACACCTGGCAATGTACCCAACAATAGCCACAACTAAAGGTGACCAGCTCAGATGATCAGTTCTGTACACATCTGGACAGGCTCACATAGTACAGCACATGCATGTATCGTATACATCAGCTGTCATATGTATACTTCGATTCAGTACAAGATCTGTGGCAAACATGTGACTGACACATCATGATCACTTTGATCAGTCTCCTCTAGACACCTTAACCCGGCCCTTTCGCGTATCAGGTTCAACCACTTTGTTTTTAAATGTAACATTTTCGGGTATAAATCCTGTCAGACCTGCATATGTTTATGCAGGCCTTGTAAGGCTTTGTCAAGGCTCGCCTGAAAGCAGAATCAGATTACTGGGTCCGACCTTTATTCATAAGCGAACAACTCTGGTCCATCCGGTTGAACTGTTTCAACAGGATTGCGATAACGAATGTGGCCCTTTGTTGTGTTCACTCATTCTAGTAGCATGTACATGTAGCTACATGCTGAATGTGTTTGCAAGCCCTTTATTTCTAATAAACATTTAGCTGAAAGCTTAATTCACACTGGACCAAATACCCTGTCCTTTTAGCTGAATCATTTATTTACTGATAAACACTAGTCAATATATAAAAAAGTAATAGAATGATCACTGTTAGACAGCTGTAAACCTGTATTTTAATGTCATTTCCTGTCTATTAAACTGCAAAACTTGACCTACAAATTCACCTCCTGTCCGCCTTTCATGTCATCAATGAATGTTTTATTATAAATACCGCTCGTGAACTTGAATTGAAATTTTCTAATATTTATATGTATCGAAGAATTAACATGACAATGCCACATGTACAATAGAGCCAGAGGACCAGGGACCTATTCAACGGCTTTCTTCATTGATCACCAGTCAGTCAATCCAACTGGTGACAAAGGAATACCAGCCAATTTCACCTGTTGTGCAGTATTATTCATGAAAACATTTATTTAATTTACTTAGATTTGATTGTGTGCTGCCAGCAAATCAAATATTTCTTTATCAATCCCCTGTAGGTCATTTCCTGTTTCTTATCAATTTTGTAATTTTGTGAAGAAAAATAAAGATGAGAAATATATTTCAATAAAGAATTGGTTTAACACATTGTGTCAAAAAATTCTATTTTTAATTCAAACCTCTGGAGCAGTATAGACCAGTATAAAGTGTCACAGGCCCAACGAGTCACGCTAGGTCTAAAACACTTTCACACAAAGAGTCTCCATGACAAAGACTCTGTGGGACTCTGATTGTACTGGGTGACAGGGTTTGACTGTAACAGGAAACCTGTCACCATTCTTCAGTCCACTGATTTGTCCACCCGACATTAACTTTATATGGCAATTTTACATGAAGATCAGTTGCAGGGTCAATAGTGATTTTGTCGATATACTTTTAACTTCAGTTAAATATGGAAAATATATGTACTGTGTATATATATATATATCTCCCTGATGCTACGGCAACTTTCTAAAACCTGCATGTTTTACCTTTGATCATTGTAATGCAACTTTCAGGGTATCATATATATTCTGATGAAATTTAATTATGGTAACAAAAAATGGACGACCATCAGAATGAAATTGATCCTTTCTTTTAATTCATTTTCGTGTAAACTTTTGGCAAATATTTTGATACTTCATGCCAATCAGAAGTATGCAAAATATTTTTCTTTTTACTTGCAGTTGATTTACATATATACATATACTTTCACACGTAATATGCACAACTTACATGGACTTTTTCTGACATCCCCCGGATACTCTGTATGAACTCTGTTCCAACTTTGGCTCGTTCTGACAGTGCTTGTAATGTTTGTGATAATTCCGTCTGAAAGTAAAAATATCAAAGATTGAAGAAGTTATCAGAGCAGCTGTATATATATATATATATCTAGATAAAAGGGACATATTTGAAATGTGTTATGTGTCCGGTAGTACACAGCTACCTTGATGATTATACCAACATACCCATTATTGTGTTGGTTGCTGGAAGAATTCTGGATTTTTTTTATCTGAAACTGTCACTCAAAAAGACAACACTTTATGAATAAAACATCTAGAAAAAGATTGTTTCAGAGCTATACTTAGAGTTTGCTTCCATTTTGTGGTTTAACTAAAAACAAATTATTCAAATTATTAAGAAATATCAGCAGTTATATTGGTTCTTTATGCTACTCACAACTGTAAAATATAACTATCAAGGTAGCTGTATACTACCGACCACATCTATTCTATTCATGACAAGTGTCTATTTCTATCATTTTTAGTCAGCCTTTCTGTCAAAATAGTTCGTTATTAATCTCCTCCTGCAGAATCTTCATTGAGATGAGATTTTAAAACAGCTCAAAATTTGATTATGTTATGATTATGAAGGAGGTAGTTGTTCTGTAAAATGATTGCATCTATAATCAAATTGAAGAAAGCAATTAATTCAATTATCATCTTAATGGACAAATCCATTATTTTGCCGAAACTTGATTTGTGTTTTACCTTAATTAAACAGCTACATTTTTTACAGGTCAACCAAGTTTAGTTTTTCTACCATCAGATAATCCTTCAGACCAAACAGGAAGAACTATAGGGCATACTTATCTATCTTACATAAAAACATCTCAATATACATTTATCCAGAAATCTGTGTTTTTTCCTTCCGTGTACACAATCAATTACCATGACAACTGTCAATAACTCCTACCGAGTATCTTGTATCCTAAAACATGCATTATGACAGACACTTGTGCAGATCAGAGATCACCTCACATAAAATAAATAACTTCTTGTTCATAATCAAGTTTTACATCATGAATTGTTCCGATTACAGACATAGATAAAAGATGGCTGCCAACACAACACATTACGGGCAGACAGGGCCACTCAGGATATAAAATGTACATGAATCATTTAACCACGTTCCGTTACAGAGCTGGGTAATACCCTATATCATGGGAATTGATATCTTTCTCAGTGTTCAATAACTTTGTATAATGGTATACCATTTTGTTAAGAATGTATCCCTGTGTTGATACAAAAATACGATAACTATCCTACCGAGATTGGTCATATCTGATCAAGGTCAAGGGTCAGATCTGATCAAGATTGCTATGTAGATATCTGAGATGAAGACTTCATCACATGCAACACTGTTAAAGCATCCATTCAAATTCAACACTAGCTTTTCAATAATGTTTTGACAGAAAGACATATCAAAGCCATTTAAGATCATTTTGGGGTTCATTTCTTCATTTGACTTATACAGTACTGATGAAATGTTTGTTGTTGATTATTTTTACATAGGTAAACAAGGCTTTAGATACAGATGGACTATGATTGTACCATGTTTTTGGTTTGTACATCTTAAATGGTGATGGGCTAGGCTACACCTTTCCAAGAACAACAACGATATCATGTGTTTGCACAACTTTTCTCTCAACATTTCAATCATTACCTGTACACGTCACGTAAGCACAAAGCTATTGAGAAAGTTATGAGTAATTACCTCCTGATGACTGATCTGAACATGGTTTTTTTACAGCTAAATTGTAAAAAGTATCTTATTTTTTTGTTATAATTATTAATATAATTAATTAATCTGTTTGTATGTTTAAAGCAATGCCATAGGTACACACGTATTCCAGACTTACATATATATAAATAATATAATGATAATAACCACATTTATGAAAACTCCTTTTTGTCATTTATCTTTTTTGGTGATATTTTCAGTTATAATAATGTATTTGTCATTTTACATGCCATTTTCAGGCTCAACATGTACAGCAACAATCTCTTCTGTAATTTTGTAAACATAATAATTCATAATACATGTACATCAACTCCTTCTTCCTTCTGTAAAATGAATCTAATGATCTATAAATGTCAAAAATAACATGATAAATTGTTTCAGTCTTAAGGAAAAAAATATCTATTTACATTGACAAATGTGTCAACTGTAATGCATGGCAGGCAATTAGGAGTGTCAGTTCAGTCTGGCACTGGGATGTTTTACTGGTCAGACCAGGAAGTGAGAACAGATCCTCCTCTACCGCTAGGTGTGTACAGGTAGCCCAGTGACCATTACTCTGTGGTCAAGTAGCACCAGGTATTTGGTATGTTGTGGAGGAATTCAACCAATCAGGACCCTGATTAAAACAAAGTGGAATGTAGATGAGAGATGGGTATAATAGATGCCAAGTACAAGTCAAGTCTGGCGCCAGTTTAGTGTCAGAGGAGTTAACAAATCTATCTCTCTGACAGATCAATCACCTGGTTATCACCGAAGTGGTCAGTAACAACACTGGGAGCTGTACATGTACCTCACACGGACAAGCTTTATAGGGAAACATGCAGGGAGGATAGCACCACAATGTGGGCCCCCTGTTTCTGGGAGGTTAGGGGCCACACTGCTAGCTCCATGGGGTCACTGTCACCGTGTAATGTGTGGTACACATGCACATAGCTATAGGGGTAGCATGCACTACCTCAAGTGACAGAGGGGTCATTTCTAAATCTCCCAGTTGGGAATGTATGGGTGTAGCTAAGGGGATAAGGGTCATTTTCTGTGTGATTAATTTGGCATGTTGAGACATTTAATATTGACTGGGATAACAGAAAGAGGGAGAGATAACATGTCTAAAACTAAACTGCTATTATAAACAGGACAGTGAAAATATACAGCTGGGGTATGTGTTTTGAAACTTCACACATGTACCATGGAGAAGAAATGATGCAGCTGGGCCTGATGGAATTGGATCTCAGTGTACCATATATATTTTACAGATTTTTACCACAGATCAATAATACTTTACAGTACACAAAATGAGAGATAAAAATCTATCATGGATTGTTATCTCTAAGTTTGTTATCTCTCAGAAGTTATGCTTACATAGTATGTGAGCATAACTTCTGATTACCTATCTGATATGGTGAGCCTGAAATCTGTCATCACAGAATATGTTATAGCTACATGTATATTAAGTCTTCTTTAGAGAATGGAATGACGAGTAGGCTGGACATGTACGGGTAGGCTGGACATGTACGGGTAAGCTTGACATGTATGAGTAGGCTGGACATGTCCGAGTAGGCTGGACATGTCCGAGTAGGCTGGACATGTACGGGTAGGCTGGACATGTACGAGTAGGCTGGACATGTACAAGTAGGCTGGACATGTATGGGTAAGCTCGACATGTACGAGTAGGCTGGACATGACCGAGTAGGCTGGACATGTACGAGTAGGCTGGACATGTACGAGTAGGCTGGACATGTACGGTTGGGATCAGTATACCTGCAGTGTTGAATGACCAGTTTCACCAGTCAATCAGTGTTTACATTAATGCTATCAAAAAACTGATAACATCAACAAATATGCATGTGGAAAGGGCATTGCGATGCACAGAAATCCAAGCCCTACAAGCTGGACCAGGAGTAATGAAATTCACAGTTGTGATAAAATATCACCAGAAATGTCCACCCATATCCCCGAATTTGCTTCTTGCGGTTTTTTGGTTTATTATATATGATTAGAATGTTTTGGAAATTAAAGCCCATTTTCCAAATTCTGGATTTTGCAGGCCACAAGAAGTCAAGTGTCCTAATTTCCATAACATATAAAACTGTCATTTCTTAACATAAATCTTTTTATGTATTTCTGCCATGCTTGAATTATATTCATTTTCTTCTGAAATTAAAAACAACATACTAAATAGTATTTTTTTAAATAAACAAAAGTAAAATTAACTCTGTTACTAAGGGATCGAATGGCAAACATTCAGTTGATAGTATTCACTATTTTGATACAGTACCTCATGATCAGAGGACTTTTAATTTGCATCATTAAGAAAACAATGTTCACTCATAAAACAATCTGGGATATTTTGGTTTGAAGAAGATTGTTGAGCTATGCTACTTTTAAAGGGACATCACGTGAAAAGGCGTTTTTTTTTAATGAATGTATGTATTGTATGCACTTCCACTTATGTTGCCTCGCTATCCCCATATTCATAGTCCGTTCCAAATGTCCAGTTTGACCACTTGAATTGTTCGGGAAAGCCCTGCTAAAAATAACGCCGATAATGTCACATGACTAGGCAGTAAACACAAGTGGTGCGAGCGAGATGAAACGGTTTCCAAAGGGGCCCCCAGAGAGGGGCCGTCAGGCAACTGCAACTTCTTACCGCACTATGAAACCAAGTTATATGATTTCTAAGTNGATTTAATCATTTTTATGAATCTATTTCAGCCAAATCCGATCGTTATTTTCCATAAGGAGTCTCACTTGATATGTTTATGTAGTATTTGAAAAAAAGACAAAAAATAAAGTTACTTCACCGTGATGCCCCTTTAAGCCAATATTTTCCCCAGGACCCCCTTGCTCCAGATCAACAGAGTGATCGAGTCAGGATCTTGTTTCCCAGTCATCAAACTACCATCACAAGACAGTAAATTCCAATGAAGCAATCATTTCCTACTGAATAAACTATACATCAAGTGTTATTTCCTTATCTAAACAAAAATAATTAAAACTTGTTCCCTTCCAATGCAAGGAATGAAAGGATGACCTGGGAATATAATGAAATTCATAATTTGATAATTTAAAGCACATTAATTCAGACCTTTCCATCCATGAAAAGTATTTGATTCTAGGAGCTCTTGGTCTGAAGAAGAAGTTTTTTGTAATTTTAGCCAATTTTACCACTTTACGTTCTACCACTCAGGCATCTGGTGGGTGCACGTGGGAACCACATCATAATTCATATATTTTTTTTATCTGTCTAGGAATGTGGAAGCTTCCTGCAGAATTTATTTGCTATTTGTGCAGCCATTTTAAAGAAA